TCTGTACACTGCGCTGCTGTGTACCTACACTATCTCGTTTAGAACATGTATGTAGGTAGGTACCTAGTAATAAATTACGGTTATACCTATTATGTACATATTATTATAATGTTATACGTAAAACTCATAATATAAAATATTAGGAATATTCTTGATTGTAATATAATATGCCATCAAAACCAATAATATTATTTTATAATATTGTACAAACCTATCCATATTAGATGCGGAGCCTACAAGACACTAGGATTTAGAAGACGTACTTCATCCGAACTAAAACTGCTAAAAATGCTCTACTGCTCGCTAGTCGCTAGTTCGTCCTTTATTAGAGTACACCTCCATGTTATGGGATCCCTACACTGCATCTGACTCCTTAATTATAGAGCGTGTTCAGAGGCGCTTCCTATACTTCGCAGGTAGTGTTCCCAAAATCTTCCACTTGGCGCACGACTATATTATACTCCTGTTCTACATGCTCTATGTTTAGATACCTTAGCTGATAGGAAAGCTAATAAAAATATAAAGAAATGTACAATTTAATTTAACTTATTTTTTTTTTTAAAACGTCATTGTAAAAACTCTTTTTGTACATAACTATATAATCTAATTGTAAGCTAATAACCTTGATGTTGATGCTGTAATAAAAATATATATATGATTCCTCCAGAGAATTATTGAGGGCACTTTAAATGCGCCGTCTCTCCTATATCCTATGTTCAATTTCTAGTTTTTTCTTTCCTCAACATTCCACTTGCTCCACTGCTCCATTTGTCGTTCCTTTTCGTACCTCCAATTATGGTCGCAATCGCCCCATCGGCCGTCTAATGCAACGATTCCCAACCTTTTTAGCAGGCGGTGCCTTATTGTTTGTACAAATTTTGTTAGGTGTCCTTCTGTGATATCACGAGAAACGTGATAAAAATAAACACTAGTTTTCATTCATAACTGATTTAAATAATTTTATTGAACATATTATTAATAAATTATAATTGTATTGTTGAAATTAAAAAAAAAAAATTCTGTTTTAATAGTGAAAAACTAATAATTAATGAGATATTTGAGGMTGCTTATTTTTGGAAAGTTTGGCAATGCTTTTATCTGTTTTTATCTATTATTGAATTATTCGACACATATTAGAAACCCTATAATATATAATATTGGATATACAGAGATAGTATTCTAAGTAATTTTGTACATAAAATAATTTTTTTTCTTTTCAACTACAATAAATTTTTAATTTCTAATATATAATTAAATAATTTTTTTCATTATCGGATGAGCCGTGGAGAGCCGTGGATCGTGCCCCTTAAATGAGCTCGCGGTGCACAGGTTAGGAACCGCTGGTCTAATGTGTTTGSCAAATGAGTCCACCCCCTTCCCGCAGTCTACCCCAAAGCACCAACACTATTAATTCAAATTATATTATGTTCAATATGTTCTGTGTTTTATTTTGTAAACAATTATATTATATGAACTGTATTATAATAATAATAATTTCATGTATGTTTCTTTTGTAAAATTGGTCTAACGGGCCATTTAATAATAAATAAATAAAATAAATATTCATTGTGATTTTCGCGACTGGCGTGTACTTACATATTATGTTATTTAATATTTTTGACGGAAAACAATTCTTCTAGGCGGCATTCTTTTAAGTTCCTAAATGTCTAGCAATAACCGCGATGGGATAGACCTAGAAAAAAAAAATAACTAATACCTAGAAAAAGAATCGTTTACGAAAATATCTATACCTATTTCTTCTGTTATTCCACAGCTGCCTGTATATATATTTTTTTGTATATATACACCGTGAATCACTTGTATGGCAATAAAATTACATGATAATAATATATATGGTGAAAGATGCATATTTTCCAACCTTATTATTTAAAATTCAAGCTGAGGTATCAAATATCATGTCGGAAGCCTTCCGCCAAGATAACATGATGACCTTTTAAATTAAGACCAATCTTATCAAAAATTAATAATCTGTAATTTGTTTATGTAAATATTGTATCCTAAGGAATTGTTAACCTTAAAACTCCTGGTTTGCCAATAACGACCATGACGACGAGGCTTATTTATAAAAATAAATATAAAAATTTGAAGTTCATAAGTTGATGTTGCTTAGATTGTAAATTACTTAAATATTATGAAAAAAAAAGTTTATAAGTTTACATTCTCCACCTCTCTCTAGTTTATGTAAATTTCATACAACTTAAGAACGAATACTAATTCCATAACAATTAATGACAGATAGCTTTAATAATTTATTAATGAGTAATGACTATTAAGGTAATTTTTCGCTATACCGACGATCACAATTTAATGACACTCGTGTGGTCATACGGAATAGGGTACGGGTACCTACTCGCAGGAGCTTATCCACAAACAACGATTGGAGACGGCTACCTCGAACACAACAATAAAACCACGTCATGTAATAACATAAACGATTCAATAAATATTATACATTTATTTATGGTCGGTTATGTTATTTAAACGATTCAATGATAATTATAGAAGCACATCGTTAGAAATCCAATATTACAATTCTAAGTGGGATTTARACTRAGATAAATGTTTACCCCGTGCAAGTGGATCGCGGGTTAAAATAAAAATATACCCACTCAGGAATTATCCGAATATTATCTATATTATTTTTAAGGTATGACATAAAGTTTTAACTTAAAATAATTGTATATAATTGTCATAATTTGTGTGACAAGGCGTTAAATTWAAAAAAAATATTCTTATGATTAATTACTCAAATAGAATCTGTAGTAAAATATGTACTCTAATAGTTTCAAGTTTCCATCTCATCGATTCATGTACGATAATTTCCATATTTAAGTTAGGTATACATATCTATGGGTACGTGTGTGTTTTGAATTATGAACCATGAAGATTTTCCTTTTTTCAAAAATATTTTAATGATTTTACCATAACAGGCATGTTGGAGGGTAAATGATAGAATCAAACCTCTTTTTAAATTGATGGAAACGRTACATGACCGAGCACATCTGAGCAAGAAATTAAGCGACAGTTAGGGCGAATCATTGTAATTCTGTATTACCTATGTGGCTATGTTTGTTGTCCTGGTACATATAGCATAATATTATCTTGAACTTTATAATTAAATATAAAATATATGTAAATGTAATGGTTATGGTATAAACGTATTTTAATTTACAAACATAAACTCGTATTAAAAATAAATAACAAAATTTATAATATTGACTACATAMATCGTTTCGGACGATAGGCGATAATAATTTAAATGTGCTTAAAACGAGGAGTGTCTAAAAACAATAAGGAAAATATATTAGTCATGTCATTATGTGTTGATTTTTCCTGAATTATGTAAAGGCTGTACAGGTCTAAGATGAAACAGAAAGACTGACAAATGTAATAACTTTTATGATCATCAATATTTTAAACAAATTTTCATTTTTATTTCTTAAAACTGAAATTATAAATTTTAAAATTAGGTTCAAATTGTTTTGGAAAATTTCAAACTAGTCAATTGGTATGACTGATTATAAGAATCATTTTTATAGTAAAAATATTTATCTAAATCATGTAGTTTATTTTTTAGAATTGCTTAAAATATCAATATTTTTTGGGAGTAAATTAATAAATTGATAACATAATTACTTTTTTCAAAACATTATTTTTGGGAATTTCCTGGCATGAGTATATTTTTAGATTATTTAATGTCTATATAATTTGTATAATTTTTGTCATACATTTAACTAGCATCAATTTCTTTTATCTGATATTTTTGTTACACTCTGTATTAAGCTCACCCAAACGATGTATTATAGATACATTGGAGAGCCGTGTAATTTTCGCCCCAAAAATAKATGTTATGTGTAACTAAATTTGAATTTTTTATTAAAAATTAAATTTGTTTCAAGCTCAAAGGTTATATCCTCATATCAATATTAACAMGCAATTACAATTATATTATTGGTTAATAGGATTGTAATTAGATTTTATAATATTTATTAACGACCAAACCAAACTAAAAATAAAATTAAGTAAGGATTAAACAGCCTTTATGTTATGCCCCGTAATCATTTGATCCTTTAAAACATTAATATAACATTTACCTAGGAAACATTTGCAATCCATTGATTATTTATTTCCATTTTATTAACACGTAATTTTTACCGATTTTTAAGTATGTAACAGTAACTTAAATTTATATATATAAGCTTTTTTAGTTATTGTTAGTTGTTTCTTTATAATATAGACAATAGCTATAACTGATAGGTATATTTTTTGTTTAAAACTCTAATTGAAAATAAGCAGATTTTTATTTATAACTAACATTTAATATCTAAATATATATATAATGAAAATGATGGTGAAATTATATAAAACTGAATATATTTTCATAAAAAAATATACTTTCTCTAAAATATTATGGCAAACACCTATAATAACAATTATAAATACATTTCGGTTACACAATTTCATAGATATGTTCATATTAATAGGAATATAAAAAAATATTCAACTTATTTGATAAAAATAATTACATATTTAAAAATAAAATGTCATTTTTTTTGCTCTTAGAACTACAAATTATAATAATTAAAAAATACACCTTTATCTTAAAACAATAAATATTACAATACAAAATAATTTTTTACATATTTGCTTAAATTTTCATTTACTCATCATTACAAGGCAGTTTATATTGCTTAAATATTTAAAACTTAGATATAACAAAAGATYGTTTTGGATACATTATTATTAAATGTTATAAAAAACACCACAGCCACATATTGAACATAAATACATACAATAAAAAACAACAAAAAATGATTTAATATAATAGAGCAAATTTATAGCATAGCTACCAATATATATAATGTTATAATGTTAATTTTACTTAAAAATTATATACTTTAATAGATTGAAAATTTTGATTTCAAAATGTAAAATATAGGCCACATGTTACAACAAAGAAATATAATACCTATGACTAGAAACTGTACAAACATTTTATAAGCTCTTAAAATTAATAGTTATATAATTTCAATCTTTTTTATTTTTAGAGGTAGATTTGTTAGCATTACGTTCAGCAGATACTTGTTTCCGTAGATCATTAATCAATGACATAGGTAATGAGCCAATTTCTGTAAACATTTGCTAAAAAAAAAGAAAAAAGAAAAATTCAATTTTTAATAAAACAGTATACAATATACATAAATATAACATCAACAAATTACACACTTTAATGAATATATGGCAGTTTAAAGGAAATGGTCGTTGAACGATCGACTTGAAACATTCCGCCAATGATGCAATATCTTCACATGCCAACAAATCTTTTTTATAATGTTTCACTAACATTAAGCCAACTCTGAATAAAATCTTAGATCCTTCATAAAACAAGCAATCCCAAACTCGCAAAGTTGTCTAAAAAAAAAAAAAAAACTGTAGTAATATAAAACATGTATAAATAAGCACATAATTATCAAATTTTCATAAAAATAAGAGAATTTAAGATTAAGAAAGAAAAGAAAATTACTAACTAACAAAATTGTCAGAATAAATAAAGGAAAGCACTGTTTCAATAATATTTAATAATGATGACTGAGGAGCTGTTTAGTATAATGGTGACATTGAATGGGTTAAAGTTTTAGAAGAAGAGAATGGCTGTAAAGTGGGAGTATAGCTGATTTAATGATTCAAATGACACACAAAATAACCATTAATATATTTTAATACCTATAAAATCAGTTAAATAGAATGAGTCTTTTTAATTATCAAAATTCAATTTAATACCTCAATTGGTAAAACCTCGGAAAAAAGGCAAATAAACCATTTAGTAACAACTAATGCCCACGGCATTTCTAAATTAATCATATGCTTTGACACTTCAGGACATTTTTTCCTAAAAAAATCACAAATAAGATTCACAGTATTATTAAAGTGTACAAATACATATTTTTGTATTTTGTTTTTTTTTAACAGTTTATAATATAAAATAATAAATATTATTATTTACTTTACTAGGCGTGAAAAAACTTCAATATCAACAATGACACCTTCCATTGTCTTAGAATAATAGTCTGGTAGTATATTCTCCACCAACACTCTTAGTAACCAAAAACAAGATTCTTCATTTTTAGTAATTAATAGCAACAAACCAGCTATGTAATTTAAACCCTGCAAAAATCATTTTTTTTTTTATATATATATATATATTATTTGATTCGGTAATAATTTAGTTTATTTAACTTAATTTATTATGAAGTAATGAGTCATAATTATAAACATACAATTGCAACACAAATATTTGATTTAAAATGATACATTTTTTTTTTTAACACTGCATGCAAATTTTTATCCAAAAGTAAAATTAAGTATACAACTGTGAAATTAATGRCATTGAATGTTCAAACTAAAATAATGACTATTTGTCATTTCTTATAGTAGTCTTAAATTTGTTTAATTATATATTCTATTTTACTGTCCACTGTCWTGATATAAACATATTAATATTTTTGTACCATATAATATTATGTACCCTGGATGCAAGCCAGGGTTTTCCTTAATATATTAATAAAAATCATCAAAATATGTTTTTATTACAGAATACTGAACAGAATAACATAAAATAAAATATTGCTACTCTTCAGCTATTGTACTTCAGGAATAATTGAWTGTATGGATAATAGCATTGTATACAAATCTATAAAGCCAATCTAACAATACCAATATACCATTGTTAAATGTCTAATTTCTCTCATGTTTAAATGTTAGTTTTTTTTATCTCTTAAATGATTCTGTGTATTGTGTAAGTGAAAAACAATGATTTTTATCTGATATGCTGCCTTAAAACCTTCTACATATGTTTAATAGAAATGCATACTCTGAGCTGTAATGCATGATGAATATTCAGATTCAGTTAGCTTATTATTCTCTACAATTAAAAAATAAAATAAAAATGCATATCTATGGGGATTGACCAAAAAAATAAAAATAAAATAAWATTTGGAACTCATTGATCAATATCAGATTCTTACATAATAGGTCAAAACATCCAATAACTTGATTTACTTAAATTATAATAGGCATTGTTAAATTAAGGCCTCCTTATAAATATTTTTTATTTTGCATCTATATTTAATTACAAAGGTATAATTGTAACCTTTAATTCCTATAAGGTATAAAATAATTTATGTTTTTATCAGTTTTTTATAACCTAAAGAAGACTTACTCAAGATTAATCATTTAAAATCCCACAAAGTACAATAATGGAATCAGTATTTTCCTAGCTGTCGCCGTTGTTCACTGTAGTACAATAACTGAATAGTATCAACAGTTTTGCATTAAAAAAAATACTGGGACACAATTTAAAGTCAACTAATTCTGAATACATAATTAAATTTTAGTCTCCATTGGACATTTTTGTTACTTTTTTTTTAGTACTGATTATTTATTGTGAATTAATGATCAATCAACTATTTAGTTATACTTATGTATTAGGATTTACTTGAATTCTACAGGTATTTAATTTCACTTTTATATATTATTTGTAAATATATTGCATAAAATATACTTGCTACATTTCTTGATTTGCTTAATGAAGTTAAATCATATTAAATTGTTAATTTTGAGTATGTTGTGAGTTGTCTTAGATTACCTGATATAAAATCTTTACTATTTATTATGTTTTAAAGAAACACTATATTATTATTCCTAACAATCCATAATATATTGTAGAAAAATAATATAGGCAAATGAAATCCAGGAGCGCTAAATAAAACTAGATAAATGTCAAAATATACCTGACAGTATCCTACATCTGGATTACATGCTGCAAATGCACATAGTATCCTAAACAATGTTTTTTGATTTTCAGAATTTGGTTGAAAATAAATATTATCTGGGTATGTTCGTGGAATATCGACCAATATTATATTCTTGATGTCCTCATTAATTGGTTCGTCTAGCATTTTTCTATATGTATTAGACCCATACTTGTCTTTCAACTTTTGCACACCACTGACAGAAATCCACCCCTAAAAAACAGGCAAGAGAGATGCAAACTTAAAAACGATACGAAAAGTTTAAAAGTATGACACATATTRATGAACAACTAACCGGTCCCCTAAGTATCAATGGTATTCCTGTGCGTACAAACTTTTTAAGTTTAGCGTTTCTCTTCAGCTGTGGATTGTAAATCAAAAGGCTAACCCAGTCCATTGAACGTCTAGTAAGTAAATTTAAGTAAGCGGACATGAACTTTTCATACTCCACATAATCGAAATCATCAGGACGTTTGAAACCATACTCATCGGTTTTGCTGTGGATGAGAGAATTCAAATGACACAATCGTTAAGACAACAACATTAATAATAACAGAATGATTACGAAATGAAGTGTTGTGATTATTTCTAGGAAAACTCACCTGAAAGTGGAAGTTGTCATTTCTAACGTGTTCGAAGGCACAACAAAATACGTTTAATAAGAGGTTCAAACTGTTCAAACAACGAAACGCGTTGAGGACGTGCAACCAGTGAATTACTAATTATTATACAGCAGCTACCACTCTATTAGTATGGCCGTCGAGTGTCGACCGGTCTATCGTCCCAATAAT